TAATCACACCCAGAACTCTGTCTCTCAGAATTTCATTCAGCACACTATATTAAGGTAAGTTTCCTCTATGATTTGCAGAGTTTTAATATAAATGAGTGTTGGATAATGTAATAGTGTAGTGTAGGGATGAACCAATGTTAAACACCTGATATAAACCCAATCTGGTCATTGTCTATGACAATTGCTTTAGCCCACTTGCTGATATTTGATTATTTATTTAAGGTTTTTCATCAATGTTTATTAGGGGTATTGGTCTATGATTTTATTTTTCTCTTTTGTCTCTCCTTGAATTAGGCAACAAGATCATATTTTTATTACAGAAAGAGATAGGAAGAGCAGCTGTTTTTTCAAATAGTTCATGTAGTATTGGAATTGTGTTCTTAGAATGGTTGATAAAATTCACTTGTGAATTCATCTGCTCCTAGAGTTTTTATTCTTTGGGAGTTTAATTAGAGCTTGTTTAATTTATTTTATTAAATATTATTGTTAATAATAATGATGATTATAATGATAACTAACACTTGTATATTTCTCTAAGGTTTGCAAAGCACTTTAAAATGGCATCTCATTTTATTCTCCTAACAATCCTGGGAAGTAGGTGTTGTTATTATCTGTATTTTAAATGTGAAGAAACTGAGGTCAACAGAAGTGACTTTTTCTAGGTCACACAGCCAGTAGTTGACTAGACCATGATTTGGACTCAAATTTTCCAGGTCTTGTGCTCTGTCCAGTGAGCTACTTACCTATTTCTTTTTCTGCTAATATGAATATTTAATCTTTTACAAGTCCATATCTACTTCCTCTAAATTATCAGTTTTAGTAGGATATTACTGAGCAAAATAGTTTCTAATAATTTCCTTTATTTTCTCTTCAATTGTTATGATTCTTTTTTTTTGATATAAATAATTTGAATTTCTTTAACCTATTAAAAATATTAGACCAGAAAACTCTATTTTATGTTTTTTAAAAAAACTTAGTTTTATTATCAATCATATTTTTGTTTTTATTTTATTAATCTTTTTCTTAATTTTCATAATTTCTATTTTGTCATTTAGTTGGGAATTTTTGATTTTTTGTTGTTCAAGTGTTTTTTTTTAAATTCCACACCAAATCATTATTTTGACTTTCACTCTTTTGCAGATAAAAATATTTAGAGATATAAAATTTCCCCTCAGAACTGCATTATTATGTCCCGTACATTTTGGTTCATTGTTGCATTATTGTCATTTTTTTTGGCTGGACAATGGGGTTAAGTGACTTGCCCAGGGTCACACAGCTAGTAAATGTTATGTGTCTGAGGCCGGATTTGAACTCAGGTCCTCCTGAATCCAGGGCCAGTTCTCTATCCACTGCACCACCTAGCTGCCTGACATTATTGTCATTTCTTTAAAAAATTGTTTTTATCGCTTGGTCTTGGAGCCACCGATTTCTTAGAATTGTGTTATTAAGTCTTCAATTACTTTGAAATTTTTTCTTTAACTGACCTTTCTTGAGTTAACATGGAAATAGAATAAATAATACTTGGCAACTGATTAGATACCAGGGGTGGAATGAAAGTGAAGAGTTGAGGATACCTTCAAGACTGGAAAGCTGCATGTCTAAATATTCTAGGCAAACCACCCTATGTCAGAGGAGGTAACATATGTAAGGAGTTTCTCAAAGTTTAAGGAACTATGCAAATTCTGGCTATTATTATTGTTATCTTCATAATTGAGTTTTTTCTTTGATTAAATTTATTGATGTTATTTGTTGCGAACAGAAGGGTGTCATTCCAAGTCTTTTGGAAGTCACTGGAAGAACTACATACAGTCTTATACCACTAGAGAAATAGTCATCAGAAACTGATTTCATTGAGCTGTGAGGACTACTGACAGTAAGATTCATTATCTCATAAAAAAAATAGGAGGGGCAGCTAGATAGCACAGTGAATACAGAACCAGCCCTGAAGTCAGGAGGACCTGAGTTCAAATATGACCTCAGACACTTGACACTCACTAGCTCAGTGACCCTGGGCAAGTCACGTAACCCCATTGCCTCACCAAAAAAAAAAAAAAAGTTAAGAAATAAAAAATAGGAGCCGTTGGCTTTGAACTGGGCTATTAATGAAGTGTTCTGGGAATCTGTGTAGAGTTCAGTTTGAAGTGTGGACTAAGAATCCAGTGGCTTATATTTTAACCAGCACTGAGTTATTCACTGACCACTAAAAATGGGTAATGGTGCTAGACAACTATGAGATCAGCATTAAGAACAATAATGAGAATAATAATTATCTAATATTTACATATTACTTAGTATATGCCAGATGCCATGCAAAATGCCTTATAATTACTATCTCACTTGATGGTCTTAGCAACCCAGGAAGGTAGGTTCTTTTATTATTCCCATTTTACAGATGAGGAAACTGAGACAAAGAGAAGTTAAGTGGCTTGTTTGGGGTTATATAGGAGTAAGTGTCTGAGGTAGGATTTGAACTCAGGTCTTCCTGACTCTAGCCCTGAAATTTTATCCACTGTACCACCTACCTGCCTAGTGAAAAAAAATAATGTCTAGGCATATGTCCTTAATCACAGGTCATATGAGTCCAAAACTATGGTGATACCCAAAGAAGGAGTGAAGGCACTCTGTGATATGCAGGGAGATGAACACTTTTTCACACGTGAAGCTCAGAGTCTGGGATTTCCAATGGAGGATATGTCATCAGCATTTATTAACTTTTCATATTGGACTAATGCTCTTTGCTCCTGTTATCCATGGAAGACTCTTTGTAGGAAAAATTGCATGATTGAATGTTATAAGAATTGATATAAAACAAAAAATGAGAGTGTGGTTCTCAGGGACGCAAGCTCTGCTCTCTAGGAGCTCATTTACTGCGAACACATTGAAGAATTTGGAGCTGGGCTATGGAGATCTGTATTGGACTCTAACTTATGCCACATATGGTACCAGGCAGCAATGGGTACTTCCCAAAACATTTACTCTATGATTCTGATAACACTGGCAGCTAGATGGTACAGGGGATAGAGTGTTGGCCCTAAAGTCAGGAAGATTCCCTTGCTGAGTACCAATTCTGCCTCAGACAGCTGTGTGATCCTCAGCAAGTCACTCAATCCTGTTTGCCTCAGTTTCCTCATCTGTAAAGTGAATTAGAGAAGGAAATGGCAAACCACCCCAGTATCTTTCCCAAGGAAACCCCACATGAAGTCGCCAAGAGTCACATACAACTAAAATGACTGAATAACAATAACAAAGCTCATAATACCACATGATGACTTTTGACATATGGGCCAAGAAGGAATCCCAGAATTTGTAATATACAGATATAACTGTCTCCAACTAGTGGCAGATATTCCTAAGAAGGGTGAGACATGCTCTCAGCATGTTTTAAGAGAAGTGCTGTTACCTCAAGCTGTCTGCTTGGATCCATTGAAACCCATGTGTATTGACTCCCTTTCCGGGTTTAAACAGGAAGGACAAAAGCAATATTCTAGTAAATGTAGACCATTTTGCTGGCAATGCACAGGGTTACCCAACTGTGGCTCAGACAATTTCTACAGTTGCTAAAATATTGTGGAAGAAATATTTCTTTGCATTAGTCTTCTCTATCACAATCCACTCTCACCAAGGTAGAGACTTTGAAAGTAAGCCATTGTTAACAGTCTCTGATAAGAAAAAGATGACTAGAATCTCACTTTATCATCCTTTGGGAAATGCCCAAGCATTTCCACCACACATTGCTGGGCATACAACAACCCTGAGAAGAAGGCTGAGTGGAGTCATCAAGTGGCCTTTGCAGTTCCCGTACAGAGGGTTGCCAGGAATGAGCTGAGCAGTGGCAGGGAAATCCACCTTGTCATGCCAAATGGAAGTCTAATGCCTTTGAATCTCCACTCTTACCCATGGACTCATGGTGTTGCTGATGGTCACCCCTTGCTTTGGGATAGTGCTTGGAATTTAGAAAAGCATTTTAGATCTCCCCATTTCACACTCCAAAGGACCTACGATGGAGCAGGAGAAGGGAGGAGGAAGGTGAGATGTACTTAGGTGGAGTGCCTGACTGAAGGTCAACACAGCATGTCAGAAGCAGAGCCAGAGTTAGAATGCAGTGTTTCAAATGGAACAGTTAGCAGTAGGATGACTCTACAGCAGACTAGGAGCTTGATGGGCCACTAGTGTGATGAGAGCCTATTGTTAAATTTTGACTGTGAGCATTTACACCTCAGAAATCAACAGGCATTATAAATCTGGACTTGATTTATTTCACATAAGAAAGTGAAGGAGAAAATGTGATTAACGCAGATTACATGGAAAAGTGCATGGGGTCTTTTCATAGAACTGGTTGTTACTCATTCACCAGCAAAGCACATATGACCAGTTGTTTTCTAGCTTTTTAAAATAAATGGTATTCTTAGTATACATGTTAATCAAGTGATTTTTTGAATTAAGACTTAAAGTTGCAGAGGTTGTGCCAAACTAAGCTACTTTAGGGACTCTCCTTCTCTGGGAGTTACCTCATTGACATCACATGTTCAATTCCTGTCCTTTTCCCAATCCAGGTCAATTAAAAAGGGAAAGGACAGGATGGACTAGGGAATAAATATTTACATAATACTTACCATATACCAGGCACTGTGCTAAGTACATTACAAATGACATTATTCATTTGATCCTCATAACAACCTGCAAGGTAAGTGTTATTATAATCCCCATTTTACAGTTGAGGAGACTGAGGCAAACAGAGATTAAATGACTTGCCCAGGGTCATACAGCTAGTAATTGTTTGAGGCCAGATCTGAATTCAGGTCCTCCTGACTCTAGGCTTAGGGCCCTATCCACTGTGTCACTGACCCCGTACATTTTCCTCATTTGCAGAATGACAGAATTGGACCAGATGGTCTCTAAGCTTTCTGCTAGCTTTAAAATTCTATGATTTTATGGCTCTCTAGTCAGAGATGTTTGGTCTGCAATCTGTGTTCAGCGGAAAGGAGAATGGTATTCCTTTCTCAAAGAACACAAGAAGACGTGTGGATCCGGATGTCATTGATGAGCAACATAATGGGGCTGACTGCTGGATAACAGAGGGAAAAAAAGACCATGGCATGTATCACCCAGTGCCTAGTTGACCCAGAAGGAGCCATATAAATAATAAAAGGGAAACTGACTGTGTTAAAGCAGATATAGGTGCTCACCAGCAGCAAGATGTTTTTGGTGGCTCGTGTTTCAGGGGAGCCCCTGTGGGTGAGGCTGGTGCTATGAATGTGCTGCACTCGCTGGTGGTGTCTGTACAGGACCAGCATCACGTAGCCACTGGCAATGACCATGAGACCCACCAGCACCCCTTCATAAACAGACTTCCAGATGACAATTTTGATCGTATTCATGTCATAAATGTCTAAAGAGCTATACCCAATGTTCCACCACCCCTTGCTGCTGTTCTTGGCCCCAGCTATGTACACTGCCACAGTAATGTCTACTAGAAGATTGAAGATCCAGCAGAAAACACAGCAGAGAATGACGTACTTTGAAGCTCTGGCTTTGAGCTCTGCCCACCTGGAGCTGTTAGGACTGATGGTGATGGCCTGGAAGACACTCAGAAGGAAGGGACTGCACAGGGAAAGGTCCCAGAATACTCTCTGAAAGTAAGATATGGTGTTACCACCAGAGTCATCCAGAGAAGATTTCAAACCCCAAACTTGCATTGTCCTAGGGATTCCCCCAAAAAGAATTATTGTGATGTTGACAAAGGCCAAATGGATGATGATAAGGTCTATATGTCTTGTCCTGGATCCAGTAAAGAACTTAAAGATGTATAAGAGCAGGAGAAAAGTGTTCCCTAGAACTCCAAATATGGTCAGGTTCAGGTAGATGATCCCCATGAATTCATCATGAGAAATCATTCCTTAGGTGTCTTGGGCAGAGAGATTGTTGTCAGAGCCAATGTGACCTGGGGAGAAACACAGGAGATTCTGATTGTTCCTGACTGTGAGATTTCCCAGGGAAGTTCCACACTCTCCCTAAGCGCCATATGAAGATGAGCACATCTTCCCCAATGGGGCCACAATTCCATCAATTGTCCATTAGACATTGATCCAACAACTCACCATTCAACAAATATTTGTTTAGCATTTACTATTTATAATAAAAATAGCCATTCCAATTTACATTGAATTTGACTCATTAAAAAGTGATTTCCTCACAACAATCACTGAGGGACTAATGGAAGTATTTTTACTTTAGTTTTACAGATGAAGAAACCATATAGAAGCCCTGAAATGTTTAGTGTCACATGCCTAGGGTGGGTGTCTAATACTCAAATTGATGTTTCCTTACTTCAGTCATTGATCTTGCTGTCAAACTTCATGCATCAGCACAATTCCAGGCATACTGGCAGAAGTTGGGGGGAGGGTGAATAAAATGAGTAGGAGATAAGATCCTTGCCTTTGGGAAGCTAAACATCTGTTTTTGGTGAAAAACTAACGAGCACAAAATACATTTGTGTGTGAAATAGTGTGATGCATACTATAAATGTTTTAAGAGCACCAGGAAAGAAGGGCATTATGAATGTTGGAGTAGGTAGGAGAGGTTTCTTGAAAAAGGCAAAATATGAAGATGTAAAGGAGGTGGAGTAGAAATTCTAAAAGGTGATTTTCACAGTTTCATATTTCTAGATAACTGAAGGATTGGGGGAAAGTAGAAATAAGTAGTCTGACCAGAGGAGAGAAAACACTTTGTAGAGCAATCAATCAATCACTGAAAAGTCCTTTGATTAAGCATTGACTCTTTGCCAGGTCGTGGCAATATAAAAGTTTGGGTAGAGATTTGCACCGCTTTAAGCACAGAAGACCCAAAGTTCTTGAATTAACCAATCAATCAAAGGTATAATCCAGCTCCCAATAAATCCTTAATCAATTTGAAAGTATTGAAGCATGTGTGTCCATAAGCCAGTTCTAACTTCAGTGTTCCGGCATCTGCTTTGGGAGCTTTCAGGCTTGTGAGCCTTAGGAGAAGGCAGGCCATTATACCGGTACAAAATAGCAGCAATTGGTGAAGAGGAAAGCAAGCACAAGGGGAGTGTGTAACCCTCACTGTCATTGACTAGGTGATAACCTTGGGAAATATGAAAGATCTGGAGTTCTCATAAGCTTCCAGAGCAATGACCTTGCAGAAGCAGGAGCTGAAGGCATCATTGGCTTCAGGAGACAAAAGAAATACTCCTGGCAAATTAAATGAACTAGAGAAATGCAGTTTAAACTTTCTACTTAGCCATTCACTCTTGGAACCAAGAAGCAAGTTACATCTAAGGGGAACTTAATGGGAGAAAAGGGAGAACCAAGGGAATAAAGAACTTCCAATAATCTGGAGTTATGAGTTTATCCTTTGGTCACATGGTCACATAAATACATATTTGAGTTCACTCTCCCCAGAGACCTTCTGTGTTCAAGGGGAGAGTGTGCCGCCGGTCTGGAGGATATATTTCTATGATAGCTGTCTTGCTTTACTTGCTAAATAAATATCCCTTTCTAAAAGCTAATGAAATCTGGCTAGCTAATTGATCCTTAATGGAGAGCATGTTATATGGAAGCTCATGAAGCAATAATACTAGAAAGACTCTTAACTCTGAGAGAAGTAGTAATGACCTTAGAATTGTCTTCCAATGTGAGTGAGAGTTAGGGATGTACACAAAGATACAAATGTAATACTCTCTGTCCTCAAGATATTTACATTCTACTATGGTATATTTTATATACATATATATATATAGTATGTACATACAAATATATATGTGTATATATATGTAGTATCAGTATAAGCTAATTGAGTTGAGGAGAAACTAGTAGATGGCAGGGAGTCTGATCAGATAGAAACTGATGTAAGAAGTGGCATTTGAGCTGTGAGGGGATTAGAACAGCAAGTGGTAGTGGGAATTGAGTGAACTACCCCAACTCCAACTTGTGACTCAATTCTGGATTTAGCTCAGTTCCCTTTCTGTTCAGTTAGGGGTCATGTCCAATTTCTGTCTTGTGGAAAACTTCAAATTGTGGGAATTAAATGGGAAGTTGGGCTACCCCTACGTGCTGCTTATGATGACTGTAAACCCAGTCAGATTGAAGACTGATGCAAGGCATTTTCTCACAATCACGCATCTCGACTGGTCACTCGGTTATTGTTCCCATGTTCCTTTGATTTTCTGTAGACACTTGCCTCCAACGTGATAGGTATGCAGGAGTCAGCTCTCTTCCATTGATGAAAATATCTAATAAACATTAGATAAATTTAGATAAAATTAGATCAAAGCTGTATTGAGGAGTGGAGGGATAGAAAAGAGGGGCAAGGATTTCTGGTGTGGGAGGATTGGAGAATAATACCAATCATCTGAGAGAACACATAATTGCTTCTTATAAAATTTTTTTCTATGTTGTATCAGGAAGGCGATAACTGGAGAGGCATGCTGGCACAGGGAAACAGGGTTGGCCTTAGAGTGAAAGGCTCTGGATTCAGATCTCACCTTTGTCACTTCTTATCTGTATGATCAATCCTTCTCAGGTGCCTTCCCCAGGATGCTCCTTTCCTCAAGCACTCTAACTACTTTTCTTACTTTCTGCTCCAGTTCTTGAAATACTGGGGTTTTTTGTTAGTAGACAGAGGTCTCCTAATAACCATCATGAAACCAATATAATATGTAAGTAAGAATCAGATAGGAGCAGTACACAGAGCTTACCTTAAAACCAGGGACACCTGGGATCAAGTGATGCTCTGAGGCATACTGGCTGTGTGACCCCAGGCAAACTACTAGGCAGCTAGTTGACCCAGTGTATAGAGCATCAGCCTTGGAGTCAGAAAGCCCTGAATTCAGATACTTTTGAGCTGTGTGACCTTAGGCATGCCACTTAACCTCTCTCAGCCTCTGTTTCCTCATCTGTAAAAAGGCGAAAACAGAAGCATGTACCTGAAAGAACTGTTGTGAAGATAAAATGAGATTGTATATATATATATATATATATATACACACATATATATATGTGTATATATATATATATATAAAGATATTGTAGACTTTAAAGTCCTATCCAAATGCTATTTATTTTTCTTATTAATCAAATTTCAATTAATAAAATCTAGATAACTCATGAAGACTAGAAAGTTGTAAGGACGGTTCCACCTAAATGACCAGAGAATATTTCCTCATTCGAGATTTCTGTAGAATAATGACATGACAGGCCCAGTCTATCCTAATGTGTCTCTATTGTATAACATATCTGTTAAAGGTATTGAGAGTTAGAGAAATCCCAGGAAATGTCAGCACTTACCTTTAAAAATATATTGAAACATAGCATAATAATGTTTTTCAACAGAGATGGAATGATTGCTTCACAGAGAATCTCCACTATTGCTTGTTCCAGGCCATTTTGTCTGCTAGTACAGGTAGGCAGTCCTCCTGCTGATGGAGGGTTGATTAGACATTGAGAAAATGCTCAGGGGCTTTGCACACATGGCCTTATCCTTCCCCTTACCCTCAGCAGGGAGAATCAATAAGGGTGGTGGTAATGATTTGCTTAGGACCAATCCCTTTTCTGTCAAAGGAATAGGCAGAGACCCGCACATTCTTTTATCTGAGAGGAGAATTCTAGAGGGATAATGCAGAATGGGATGTTTGAGACCACTGGGTCCACCTTCCCAGAGATGGGGCAGCCCATAGCAATCCAGCAGTTTGAGCAACAGAGCTTCATTGATGTAGGGCAGGAGATGCATTCAATGACAGAGAGTAAGAGCAAAGCCTGCCATATGATGACTATTTGCACAGCTTTGCTGTCCACACAGCAATCTCAAGACCCTTTGTCTTGACTCCTATGATTCCCTCCAAAATCATCCAGAAAGTATTAAATCTGAGATTGTTCATAGTTCCCAGCACAAGATAAGGACCTTCTGTCCCCAGGTAAGAAGTAGCATGAGAGCTCAAGACCTCCTGCCCCTTGGGCTGGCTCTGAACCAGTAATTACATCCCTCTTCCATAATTTCATCTGGACAGCATAGACTCTTGCCCAATATGTTCCTGGGACTGCTAATGGGGCAAGATCTCCGAGAAGATTTCTACTGCCGTCCCAACACACCTGACTCAGCGTAGCGAGTACCACAGCAAGATAGGGAGAGAAGCAAAGTCCTAATCTAAGCCACCACCACAGGCACAATTTTTCACTTAGTATGGATAAGAATATCCCAGTTAGACATCTTCCCAAAAGTTCCTGGTTCTTCCCCAACATTCCAAGATGCTGTACCCTGGTTTCCTTCTCCTGGAAACAAAACAACATAAAACTCTCTACCAATTTCTGTCTCTGAATCCAAGACATAGAGTTACTCACCAGGATGTTTTCTGTTGCTAGGACATTGAGTAGACCTCTGAGAATCAGTGTGTGTGTGTGCGTGTGTGTGTGTGTGTGTGTGTGTGTGTGTGTGTGTGTGTTTGCATGTGTGTGCATGCACATGCATATATATGCACATGTCTATGCATATATGTATTGTGGCTATGGCCAGAGCTTGTGTTATAAGCACATCTGACCTCATTTCCCATTAGAACTGTGATTAGCATGTCATCTGTTGGAGACGTTACACTGTCTTTAGAGGGAATTGGGAATATGTCTGATGAAGAAGCAAAGTTTTGTCTCATGCAAATCTCCTTCAGTAATGATGATGGATTAATTAT